GTCTCCAAAGTCCGGGAAATCATGGACGCGTTGTATCCAGAACGGATGTTTTGTCCCAGTTTGCTATCTCGGTTAAAGGACAGAGGACGGGTCCTACACCTTGGTCCGGAAGTGGACAGCATGGGCCGCTTCTTTGAAATGGGTTATGGTATGAAAGCCACCGGCGGCGTGTTCCACGTCAACCTAACGTCAGCATTGCAGTTAAAAAGTGTCGTCATGCAGGTATCATATATTTTTCATGTGACTATTTTTCATGCATATATTATACTAATTCTTCCTCAATATAGCAACCTGGAATGACCAAGTACGCAACGTCGTACTCCGACTTTGTACTATGCGACGGGACACACAATGTGTCAATGTACGTCCTGAAGTTGATGCCGTTTACTGTTGTCGACTGCCTTGGACGAAATGTACTCTGCGGGGTGGCACTCGACGAGTCCGAAAACACCGAGGTATGTAGTACACGTATGGTGATGGATATTAAGGAATTACTACATGTAGACTGTGAAACTGGGGCTCGAGTTGTGTAAGTTGCACGAAGCTAACGCAACCCTCATGACGGATGGTGGCAGTGCATATCCTGGTAATATATATTAATTGCTATATTTGTGCACCTAACACTTGTTGTCGTGTGTGGGGGTTATTATTACTATTAGGGGTTGCACTGGATTTGGGCATGATTCACATCTTGTGCACAAAGCACTTTGAGGATGTAATCCTCAAAGGTAGCACAGGGCTTAGTGGGTTGGCGAAGTCGTTCAAGGCGGAGGGTAACGCGCTTGTGTATGCCACGATGTCCAAAGTTGAGTTCCAAACTCGCTTTGACAGGGCGAAAACGACGTACGGCGAGTACAAGGAGGCGGACAAGGCATTATGCAGTATATATCGCCACAAAGAGAAGGTCTGCCGCGCTTTCACAGGTACAGTACAACTATGTCTATTTTCAAATGTTGGAATAATCCTCCACAACTCATGTCTAGGCAACGTCTTCACATGCAGCAGCCTGGCGACACAACGAGGCGAAAGCATGAACTCTGTCATCAAGGAAAACAGTAAGGTTCTAATGTTGCAATATTTCAATGGGTGGCGTAGGGCTAAAGAAGAAAGAATTACGTCGTTTTAATCTCCTCCAGTTGGCCGAGCATTAATGGGGCATTTTTCAACGACAAGAAATCAAGGCGTGCGATGAATTAGTAACGCTATTGACTGCGAAGCGGCGTTGGTCAAATTACGTCGACAGCATATGGCGAGCAAACATTCTACAAGCGGAGTCGTTGCCGCATGTGGTTCAAGTTGCCGGGATGTGGTATGTGTCGGCTTCGCAGTTCCACGACGTGACAGACGCAGCGCATCGGATCATCCTTGGCAAGGACGGTGGGCACCCAACTTGTGATTGCTTTGCTTTTAAAAGCAGCAAGATTCCTTGTGCTGGAATTTGTCAGGTCGGACAATTATAATATGGAAGACTAACATTAAAAAATATGCAGGTGTTTTGTCGTATTGACGCTCCGTTGTTGTACCCACGCAACCTGCACTTCGATGGCATCTTCAAAGCCATCCAATGTATACAAATGCACTACGCCGACTAAACATTGAAGACCCAGCACCCGGGCATTCCGCTAGGTGCAGGTGTGTAATCTCCCTCGGGGTGATCATTGCTGCTCGTCTCGTCCATCTTGTTTTAAGTGAGCGCTGACCATTCACCATTCATCCGTATAATCTGCGATATCCGGATGGGTTGCCGTTTATGTTCGACGATGATACTCCATAAAAACTAAATGTCCGTTATATTCGATAATCCTACATTTGATCCCGAAATTAGGATGATTGCCGGATACAATTTAACCGGACAATGCGCCAGAGGCGCATACGCCTAAAACGAGAACCCCTGCAAGCAAGCAGACAGCAGGTGAGTAGGATCATCCTATCACCTCGGCTATTAGTCCTGATTGGCTAGTCATTAACTAGTTCGTCGACCGTCTAGTGCCAATCGAGCCTCTTGTGCCACTGGTTACTATACTACACCATTTTGCGTTTAATTCCAGCTTATTTTCAATATATTTCCACCAACCTCAGATATATTTCACCGAGTCCCCAATATAATTCACCCAACCTCCATTATATTTCACGTCGATGTAATATATCGGCGATATATTTCACCCAACCTCCGATATAATTCACCCAACCCACGGTTAATTTCACGTGAATTATATCGGAGGTTGGTGGAAATATATTGAAAATAAGCTGAAATTAAACGCAAAATGGTGTAGTACTTACTAGTATACTAATATACATGTACGTATAAGCTTAAGCTGATTCACTTTCCGTTTCACTAGCAACCACCGAGTTTTCCCCTGGTTTCTGCACCATCCTCTGAGGTGAGAGATCCTATGAAGCACGTCATCTAAAAACTTCCAACTGGCCAAATCGAAGAGTGGAAGTTTTATTATTTAACGTACAATTAATGTAATTAAACCCAAAACCCAAAACGTTAAATACCGAATTTATGCGTTTTATCACCGCGGTGGAAGGTTAAAGGTCCCAACTGCCTCCGGATATTACATACGGATAAGAGGCACATACAAAAATCAAGATACATCTCAGCGGCCACCCTTATGGCCAAATATCCATGCGCCCATGTAAAATACCACTAGGTCAATATTTATTTCTGGGCCAATTCATCACCAAATTTGAATATGAGACGTAGAATTTCTTCACCACATTGAGATCTGTCGATTCTACGTCTCAATTTGCTGAAATTTTGAGTAATGAATACTGGTACGAAATAGAAGTCATTAAAAAAAATTGTGAAAAGTTGGTAGTATATAGGTGACGAGCATCATACTATTAATAGTACATATCACCCCAGAACCTCAAGTCAAGGGGTACAGTACTGCGATCAGAAATGGTATATTATTAATCAGAGGATATACACTATCACTCGACACTCATTGGTACATCTCTTGTTTAATCCAGTACAGTACAGTACAGTACTATTAGTACCGGATATTGGCGAATATAGTACTAACGTTACAGTTGTTCATCCTTTTGTGAGAGAATTTCACACGAGGGAAAAGCTCTGATTACGGCTTGGAGGCAAGCATGAGATGATCGAGGACAAGAAACATGTGGGTGTATTAACTAGTGTTGGCAGGGGCGTAGTATCGCCTCGATTGCCCGGTGGCTGTGTCGACAGCGATTTCGGCAACAGCCTCCACCTCGCCTTCGACCTTTGATTTGGGAATAGAGGATGCAATGGCGGCGGCGGAACCGCGCTGGCGCATTCGCCAGACACACGTCAACACAATCAACGCCACCGTTGCGCTTGCCACGATGGCGGGATACAGGATCGTAGGACCAAAGTACGTGCCGTCGGACATGTCAAGTGACTTGCTCCCGAGAAACTTGGTGCATCGAGGGCCTAGTCCAAATCGAAGCATCAGGAGTCTGGCTTGATGGCATCACACATATGACGTTATACGTTATCCTCCTTACCGCCATAGCCCGTAACGCAGCTGCAGCGACGTTTCACGCAGCGACCACTGGGCATGGACGACGACATGGACTGGCAGTCGTCATCACTGTTGCATGTCGCGCCGCCGTCCACTCGGATCATGGGGTTCTTGGCATCTGTGAACCATTGGATGTGGCCATCGATCCATTTCTTGGTGGGATGAGTGGGGGGATCGCATCCAAGGAACATGGAGCTCTTCTCTTGGTACACTCTAATATACTCAATCTCCATGTACATGGGGAACGAGTCGCAAATGTTCTGCGTCTTGTTGAACTCGTAAGTGCCTGGCACGGGCTTGGAGGCGTTGCCACGACACGGCCCAATGTCGGCGTTGGGCGGGGTCGCACCTGGTTATGCCACGTCATTCATTGCACTCTAGTGTAGTAATAGTACCCCAAGCCCTTGCCACGGCAATGTTGAAGATGATGTAAAGGGGCTCTTCGATGGGCAACTTAATCGGGTTGCGCGGTTTGCCAGGCCCAGCTTGGGGGGGCTTGGTCAACGTCACCGACGGAATTTCAAACAAAGGCGCGTCTTCAAGCATCCAGCGCACATACCCTGACTCGCCCAGCACCCTAGTCCTCTCATCAGTACCATTCATTCGTTCTTCTTGCAGCAAACGATTAGTCTTTCGTGGCCATTTAGAATGGACATCCCAAACGATCAATTCTTTCGTGGCCATTTAGAACCATTTCGTGGCCATTTAGAAGAGCTTACCACTCGACTTGGTACACGTAAAACTCGGTGTACGCGTCGTGGCCAATGTCCCAATTAGCTGAAATCGCGTCCATCTGGTACTCGAACGGATGCATCTGGTTGGTGTTGGCCACGCCGTCCTTGCGGGGCGCTTCGCACTTGAGGTTCTTCGAGTCGGGATCGCACAAAAACGCGCCAATGTACCCATTCGCAATGGGAAAGCACGTGCCGTTGTAGTTGATGCCCCAGTGGGCCGGCCCTTTGCCGTCGATCAGCCCCAAGTCGGCGTTGGCGTCCCGTCCGGCACTCACTTGCATCTTGTTGTACACGTTCGTCGTGAGCAACGCCGGGTTCATTTGCACTGCTTTCACCTACAAGTATCGATGAGTACACCACGTTTCCACCAACTTTGGATATAGTTAGACGAGCTTACCGGTTCGTATTGCTGCACTTCCAAAGGATCCGTGGGGCACCGGTTGTTGGCGGCGTATTTGAGCCCTTGGTACCAGTTGCGATGGCCTCGGTAGGCGTAAGCGCTCGTGGGGATATCTGGAAAGTTGGCGCCAGGGGTGTCGCACGCCTTGCCGTACACACAGTACTTGCTGTCGGGCTTTTGAATCGGCATGCGGCGGTAGTTATCTGGCATTCCTGGGGCAATCTGAATAGACGACGAGATGGCAGCTCCGCCGCCTTCGAGGATGTCGATCTCGGGGGCGCCTCGGCCTTGGTTCGGGTGCAAGCCGTAACCAGGATTGGGGTCGCACGCAGAGATGGCTTGATGGGGGGACAAGTCGGCGTCGCACTCGTTGTACGTCCACGGCCACATACGAGACGTGGACGCCGAGAAGAGCGCGCGGCCGAGGTTCCCGAGAAGCCAGATGCCGGGCCATGTGGGGTAGTAAGCTCCGTCTTTGACACGGTCGCGAGGGGTGAGTTTAGTCTTGACGCCATCCTTCCAGAACTCGCCGAGCGCGTTCGGATTCATGGTCGTGCTCTTGTGGATGTCGTCCGGCAGAATGTTTACAGCTCCGGGTAGCTTGGCCGCCACTTCGATGAGCCCGCCCTGCATGCAAAATTTGTTCCACGACTGCATCATGCCAGCGGAGTAGTGCTAGAATTGTACTATGGATTAGAGTGAGGTAAGGTCGTGGATGGTGTACCAATGTGTTGGACTCGAACGCGGGCACTTCAAGCCACTGGTTAAAGTACGTGACGTTGGTTTGCATTTCATCCACGCGGTTGATCAGTTTGCCGTTCAAAGTGTACACGTTGGACGAGTTGTACAGGCCAATGGCGGCGTTCACTCCATCGGGGATGTCCAAGGCGGTCCACATGTGATCCTTCCCGGCTACAAACGATCGACCATCGATCTCAAACTCGTCGCTCATCACGAGATCCCACGTCTCTCCGCGGGACGACTTCTTGGAGCGAGCATCCAATGGCGTGTCCACGTCGACCCAGGCAGTGACGCCACTCCTGGAATGATACCCTTCGTAGTCGTAGTCAAGTGCTACCGCCACAGCTTGGAGTAAGGTCAGTGCACCCAAGGCCCGACCTCTTAGTCGCTCATGATTCATCCGTGAAGATACTGTAGTATCAACTTGTGACGACAGCCTCTTGCGAGGTCTGCGGCCATAGGTACAGACAGGCGTGCGTTGTTGTAATCTATTTCTTGAAAATATGGTGATTGGGTTTAATGGGTTTTACATATAAACCAGTTTATTCAGAAATCAATTTAGCTATACTTACAGTTAAACTCTATACACTGATACTCCCCACTTCAGTACCTATGAAAATTCACTGAAATCTGATCAAAAACAGGTGCGGTACCTTGAAAACTATTCAGGCATGCGCATCACAGCAAATATTTTACGCATGGTGATTGGATTTTTCTGTCCAATTAGACAACTAGGTACAGAACCATGAAAGTGGTAGTAGGAGCAGGAAGTGGTCTTATGGTAGGTAGCATGATGCATAGACCGACCGCTAAGTTATGAAATCTACAGGTAGAATAGTAAATGTTTCAATGATTCTCACCTGATAGCGTATATTCATACCGATTAGTTGACCATTCTTAACCATCCGAGCGGGTTATTAAGTTAGTACTAATAATATGTATTAATAGTATTATTAATAATACATCCAAGCGGGTTAACCTGGACGTATTCCCGTCTTCACCTTCAAGGTTGAGAACAACCAACGTTTTCGTATTGTAGAACAATTCAACTTTAGGTTTTAAGGTTACTGTTAAACCACACATTTAATCCAAATAACGTACTTCGAAGTAACAAATGCTAGTACTGTAGTCCTTTGTGTAGTAAAAGGTGGTCGACATTGCGACATGTGCCGATTAGTACTCCGGTGTACTACGTAGTAATAAATAAGCATTCTTATCAACCAATAGAAAGTCGCTAATATAAAAACGAGTCGTTTATTCGTGGAAAATGTCTTATTTCAACCAACCCAACAATAGATACAACAATGGGACACTTTTGCGACACCCGAGCACACCGGTGTGATTGGGCTTACAGCTGTTAACGTTAACTTTTACTAGTACTACGTAGTATTAATACCACTAGTAGTAGTACTGTACTAGTACTGCATACTGTAGTAAGTTCCACTGTGCCATTTCACTTGTACTTATTATCTCATAGTACAGCACATTCCAGTTACAATATGTTACAGGTTAACCTACCGATAACTGAATTTCCAGCGGTTGTACTGTAGCTACCGTATAGTGTATATGTAGTGCGACGGATTTATCTATTGCGAATCCTGTAATAACTGATACTACTCTGGTCCAAAATAGCTGTCGTATTGCATATCTTCGAAGGTGCAGTTTTGTTTGACTTGTAATTTGTATACTAAATATAGATCAATTAGCCACTTGTATACATGTTTATTATATGCAATACAAACCTCAAGATGATTAAAACATATTTATACTGAAAATATCAAGTGACATCCACCACACCAAGCATTTTACTTGTGAACATGTCGAATATACTTCAAATTTGTACTTACGACGCAATGGATTAACAAAACTTTGAGAGCGAGTGTCGACCGGTTGTGATATATTACCTGTCGCAATACATATACACTATACGGGTATTAATAACCACTCGTGATGTAACTTATAGCTACAGAGAGGGGAGTGAGTAAATACTACAGTATATAAATCACAATAGATTTGATGAATTGACTGTTTGTTACCAGTAGCGCATGTAAGTTGTTGTACGATACTTCGAAGTATGGGTCATTGCAGGTCATGGAAGTACTTTTGTTGTAGCTGATACCGTCTTACGTAATCTGTGCTAGTTCGAGTCAAGCAGTGACATGCCTTATCCGAATCCGGATAGGGTTCAGCTGGACGGTGAAATTGGATTTCCTTCCAGACATACAATTTCAAACATATACCCCACCCACCCAGCTATTAGGACGTACCTTCGAAGTACTAGTAGAAAAATTATAAATTTATAATAGCAAAACATTTCCAGTTTGTGACAGTGAAATCATCCGGAATTATAATTCAATTGTTTCACAAATTTTGTGGAGGCGAAAAATACGTCTCAACAAATTTGTGCCGACAGTGTGGTATTTTACCCGGATAACGTTTGCGGATATATGGAATGGTGGCTGAGCTGCAAAAAATGACGCTCTTGATGTGGTGGTGGATGCACATGGATGACGATGATGATATCGACACCTCCCTCGCGGATACAATGAGGTTATATCGAGCACAGCTCACAATAAAAGAGAGACACTATCTTACATGTGAATCTCTCACGTCTCCTCTCCACAGCGCATGGATGGAGATATACACAGCCCGGATTCCAAGCGCATACATCGCCACCGTCTCAATCGCACCAACGACTTCGACGACGTCTTGCGCGAGTTCTCCAAGCACTACCAGATCAAATCCGGCTTTGGAAAAGCAGGGAGACCACCCAAGCTGCCCTTTCAACACCAAGCATTAGCCCTGGTGCACTTCTACCGCTGCTTGTGAACCCAAGACCTTCTGTGAAGTGTTTGGCATAACTCCGTCTACGCTGTCCGCTACACTGGCGAAGGCTTATGAGCAACGTCATCACTGCTCTTCGACAAGCCGCTGAATGGGGTATGGCCGCTGTGGAACAAGTTTATCGACAACTTTTATTGCCATTGCCGTACAACCCTGAGCAGCGACAAATGCGCTTGCACAACATCTTCAAGTTGTACAATTTCCGTGTGCGACGCACTGGCATTAGTCAAATTCGTAACACAATGAATTAGGCATAAATATCCTAAATTGATTTTCAGATTGAAATAATATTTATCGAAAATCCGAAATGGAGCATATGTCCTAGGTGTGTTAAATATGTTGTATACTTATGTGGAGTCCGTATTCCTGATTAGGTTTCAACTAGGCATTTCAAGAAATCTGAACAATCAATCATGGTCAATTAGGGGTGGGCCCAAAGTAATATGCACGATTTGCACAAGTTGGGTCTATTATAAAGAATTATGCAAAAAAAATCAACAATAAAAAAGAAAAGTACTCTAAATAGGATAAAACCTACTTTTAAAGCACAGCTACTTCTCAAGGAATTTGGACATCATGGCCACCATGATTTGGTCCATCGTAGCTTGACGCGCTTCGCGTTGGATATCCATTGCTTCTTGTCGCTCCAGACGTTTAGCTTCTCGCTCATCACGTTCAGCAGCAAGTTGCATTTGATACTGGCGGTACTCTAGCTCCATCGCTTGTTGTCGCTCTTGCATGGCTGCTAGAACTTCAAACGTGTGTTGTCGCGCGTGACGCTGCTCAAACACCAAACGACGCTTGATGGCTTCGTTTTCCGCGCTATCAGCCACGATTTCGTCAATTCGACGACGGCGTTGGGCCGTTTGGCTCATGGTCTGCTCGCTGTTCGCTAACTGACCGATCGTTGCAAGTTCTGTAGTGTCCAAGCCAGTCCGTGGCGTTGCAAAAAGAGTGAAAGGTGAAAGTCTCATGTCGGGGCTGATGGAGGGTCGCAGTGGCTGTCGCTGTCGTTGTTGACATTATTTTCATTGTCCTCGTTTTTGTCACCAGATCCCATATCGAGAACGGACATCCGAGCCTCCATGGCGCGGTTGATTCGTTTGGCGCGTTTTACGTCCTCTGGACAGTCGGGGTCGCCGGTTGGATTCTTGGAGTTGCGGAGGGACTTGAACTTCCGACGCATACTCTCCGTGCGAATTATAATCCGCCTGCACAGCATCCCATTGGTTTGATCCAAGAGGTAGGTGCGATTCGATGCAGTCCAACATCGAACTCACTTCTGGATTGCTCCATCCCTTCCCACGTCCTTTCCCTTTCGGCGCCATGTTGAAATTCAAATGCCAGAATTGTGTCGTCCATCAATCTCGTCGCAAATTCTAACCAATAGAGGGTCCCGAAAAAGTGAAAACTGTGACAATTTCTAAGCACAGGTAAGACAGCATGGTCAATAATGTACGGATAATTTTAAGTCAGAAGCGGCTCAAATATACTTTATGACAGTTTCTGAAGTCCCCCAATGGTAATTCAATAAGTGCGAGGGTACCTGTATATCAATATATAACGACACTACCATCATACAAAAATGCAAAGTACTTATTTCAATTCATTATACCAAATTAAGGGACAAATCAAAGGACAGTAATAGAGAGGTTTTGCAAGTCATCCGTCCACTGTCACGCCACTACATTCTGCCAAAATCGGCGATCGGAAAGAAGTGCACTGGCAACGAGTTTTGTGATTTTGCAACCAACCGTCGCCACTAGTCCGGATAAAAGGTTATATTAATCGGATACTACACCTTTTTGCAGTTAAGTTGGACGAATGCCCGATGTATTTGGCCGTGCACCCGATATATTTGGTGGTGTGCCCGATATAATTAGCCATGTGCCCGTTTAATTTGGCACACCGAGGTCGTGTGCCCGATATATTTGGCGGTGTGCCCGATATAATTAGCCGTGTGCCCAAGCAATTGGCCTTCTGCCCGATGAATTGTGTCGTGTGCCCGATGAAAATAGAATAACTCAAATAATTAAATTCAATGGAGTGCAAATCAGTTACGGTGGAAACATCATGTGGTTGAAGTTCGGAGGAAAACGCGCGAAGGCCTAGAATTCGAAATTTATACTTGAGTAAAGTATAGTTTAAGTTCATAATGCGCGCGCTTTCCTCCAACACTTTGAATGCTCATTATTCAAATCGCCAAGTTACGCACAGCATGGACGTCGCTGCACCCCCGCGAACTCCGGTAATAGTGCCAATTGAAGTACTAGATAACCCCCTCGGTAGCCACGAGGCCCCTACGAACGCATACCTCTTTCCGCAAAGCAACGAGTCGTCGCAGCGTTCAGAAACGACGACGACTGCAGTCGGCGTTCGCCAACAGGATAAAGCAAAGTACTGCTCGAAATTAATGTTGAATCCGATCGAGAATTTGTGGTCGTCGGTGAAAG